TCTTGCCATAACGACGTTTAAAGAAGGGGGAATGGTTTCACGAAGGCTAGGTGAAGTAAGGAAAATACAAAATTTGGTTTTACTTACTTTTAATTTTTCTTTCTTTTTTGTTTCGAACCTTGGACTATTACACTGAATGATTCGTAACTTTGCGTGCTCGCGATAAGTATGAGTTTTCTTGGGATACGGTGCTGTATGCTTAGTCCTAGGCTGGTGCTAGGCTGAAGAGCGAGCGTCAAAAAACGTGTCCGAAGAGAGAGAGCTTCCGGGGCTGTGCTGGGCCTTTTATTAGCTGGGGGTGGTTGGATGGTTTTTCCCTCTCTCAACTCTTCGCCAAGGCTTCATTGTAAAGTTGGCCCTATTTTCCTCATTGGCAGATGGATTTTCTTGTCCAATCTTGGTGGTGTTAATTGGGCTGGAGCGTGGGTTTTCCGAGGCGAGCAGGGCGGAGCGAAAATGAAAGTTTGGGCCTCTCTTAAGAGATGGACCCACTTGCATCGTTTTGGTCAATATTTTAGCAACTATTATTAATAATGATTGCCCGCAAAGCTACGATCAATTGAATTACTTAAAACTAAACATAAGAATCTATAATTATATAAAAAAAAAACAAATATGATCCAAAGTTCACGCGTTTAACTTACATGAACTTTTTCATATTCTTAAGTTTAAATTGGTTAATATTTAGATAATCAATGCCAAAAAATTAGGGAGAATTAAACAATATTCTCTTTCACTTACACTTTAGCCTAAAGATAACTTCGATAAAAAATAGAGCAATTATAATATCACGTAATACAAGTATAAATGAAATTATATTTAAAATTACACCCGTGTTTTCCTATTTTCCTGGCCTAACTACACTTAGAATAAAAAAATTGAAAAGAGGTAATCTAACGGCTTAATGGCGATCTATAAAATAGCATAAAAATATTTTGGATATTGTAAAAAAACTCATTCCTTTGTTACCAATTCTTTTGCGGGGTAAGTGAGGCACTTTCGCTCATGACAATTGAGGGAGAAGAACGAGGGGAGGTTGATAAATAAATTATACAAAGACAGGAATCAAATCTCACTTACAACCTATTATTATTAATAATTATTCACACTGAACATACGCGCGCATAACATAATCTAAATTACCGACCAACAAACTACAAATAGAACAATAAACTACTTAAGATAATCACAAATGAACATTTCGCATTTCACTAATACCTAATCGCGTACTTAACCTATTACAAACTTACTTAAAACTACGCGAACTAATACCGGGTAAATTGCCCGGCACGTGGGCGCCTGGACAATTCACCGGTCGCAGCTTACGTCACTATGAATTAAGCCTAGCGCGAACCTTCAGATAGCGGGCACGTGAGTGCCAGGCTATCTCTTTCCACGCGCACCGGTCGTCGCATCAACAGAGAGAGAGAGAGTGTAGAGAGAAAGAAGAAAAGGAAGGCTTGACCTTTTATCTCCTGTTCCTCGCAACGTCGAGAATCTTGAGCGATGTGCTGCCGCAGGATGTACTGGGTGTCGTCGCTGGTCAGATCGTCGCTAACCGCTGTCGCTGACCAGGTATCCGTAGGCGACGTTGACTCTCCTAGCAGGTGGGCTGGCTGCAGTTGCTGGCAAAGCCGTTGCCGGTAGGGTTGATCTTCCTTCCTTCCGGCTATCCCAAACTGCTCTCTCTACTGGGCTCGGACTTCCGCACTCTAGTAGGACTAGGCTTCGACTCCCTCACTCTAGTAGGACTCGGCTGCGACTCTCCTCACGCACTAACTCTTGCGCGCATCTTGCAGCCGCTCAGCGGCGCTCGCTCCTCTCCCTACCTTGACCTATTAGTTAGGCGGCACGCGACGCGTAGCTTATCGGTCACGCGTTGCGCGCCTGCCAATCCCTGCATAGGCCTAATACTCTCTCTCTCTCTCTCTCTCTTTCTCACTCTCTCTCCGCGCTCTTCAACTTTTCTTGCGCTCAACTGCGCTGGCTCGTCCTTGGCGCTGAAACAAAAGACCAAGTGTTAGGCGCATACTTAAATGCGCCCAACGTTGGCCACCACGCCTAGCCGAGTGGGGGAGGGAGAAACGCGGACGAGAGACCGGCACACGGCCTGCTCTCGTCACAATATTGCAAAATTTATTTTTAACTTAATTTAATACTAGAATTTAGAAAACGTCGAAAGTGAGTTTCGAAGGAGGAAAAGGGAAAAAAAATGCGACAAACAGGATGCAGCTCGCAATTTTACGAGTTGCTCCTGGGGCGAACACGCGGGTATGGGCATCGGCCAAAGTTTTTTTCTTTATAGAATTTCCATGCAGCTTTCGATTTCTCTTCTGAGCTTGAATCCTAGGAATTTTCGAATACACGGCTCTCAACTCGTTTCGGGTTTTAGACAGTTGAGAGGATTCTATATTACATCATTTGTTTGTCGCACTTTCGGCTAAACATTGGAATCTACGTAAAATCAAGTCAAGTTTTTAAAAAAAGATATGAAGAAGAAAAAAAAATAAATGGAATAAAGGCATCCGCCATCACACTTCATTCGTCAGAGTGACAAATTAAGATATAGCGAATAAATTAGAGTTCTTCAGTAACCTGAACCGTAAATATTTACTTTCACATACTGTTATTTTGTTTTCAGATGCAATCACGATAATTTCATGTCGGAATTTTAGATCGATTTTCGCGATTTATTAAATGGATCCAGGATTTCTAACTGAGTCGGTCGTGACCGCTACAGAGCTTGAATTTCAAGTTCAATAGTTTCCATTTTCGTTAGTTCCGATAACAGCCTGATCTGAAAAAAGAGTTGTCGGTAAGATCTATAACTGGCCAACTCAAATTCCTTTCCATAGTGAGGAACAAGAACAAAGGACGAACAATTGAAGCTGTGTCGACATTTTAGTAACGCATATCTACTCTATTTAGAAACGCAAACTCCACACCTATCACGTTTGATAGGTGTCGACGAACTTTTTCGCGTTTTTGACTCAAATCCTCGACAATTGCTATAACCATATATCGTCTATCGTCTTCTTAAATAACTCGGGGAGATGAGTCAGCACAAGGTAAGCTACGGTGCGAGATTTAGGCAGCGGTTAATTCCTTCTAAAATTTCCCGATATGAATTGAATAAATCCATGTAAAATATATAAACAGAAATCAGTATTACGCACTACTACTGATGTTAAGCATCAAAATTTTGGTGATAATGAAGCGTTTACTTACGTTATTCGATGAGATGGAAATCCATGTTTTAAGCAATGATATTCATTTTATTTCCTTATTTAACTTATGGCAAAATAATTCCAAGCATAATTTTATTTTAATATAACTGTTATGCTAGCATTTCGTACTTTTCCTAAATCCCGATCTTAGAATTACTACGAAAAACCTTGGATATCACGATATTATACATTGATGGCGCGGTATGAAAATATTGTATAGAACACAATATTTTTACAATACCGAGTGCTGTATAAAACAACTAGTTATATGAGGGTCGTTTGAAAAGTCCGTGCAAAAATAAAAACTGCTTGATTTTTTTTAATAAATCTTTTTTATTTTTCAACATAGTCACCTTTTAGGCTTATACACTTCATCCAGCGCTGCTCTAGTTTGTTAATCCATTCCAAATAATAGGATTTGTCCAAGTCTGTAAAATAGGCATTCGTTTCTGCAATCACCTCCTCGTTTGAATAAAATCTTTTCCCCGTCAGCCATTTTTTCATATTAGGGAACAAATAGTAGTCCGACGGAGCCAAGTCAGGACAGTAGGGGTATGTGAAACGAGTTGGAACCCTATCTCCATCAGTTTTGCGGCCATAACTGCTGAGGCGTGAGCTGGCGCATTGTCGTGGTGGAAGAGGACTTTTTTGTGGGCCAATCGTGGACGTTTCTCTAGCAACTCAGTCTCAAACGATCCAATAACGATGAATAATATTCGCCTCTAATGGTTTTACCCTTTTCCAGATAGTCGATGAAGATTATTCCTTGCGAATCCCAAAAGACAGTCGCCATAACCTTCCCGGCCGAAGGAATTGTCATCGCCTTTTTCGGAGCAGATTCCCCCTTGGTAACCCATTGTTCAGACTATTCTTTGGTCTCAGGAGTGTAGTGATGTATCCATGTTTCATCTACAGTGATGAAACGACGCTTAAAGTCTTGCGGATTTTGCTGGAACAGCTGCAAACCATTCTTGCAACACTTCACACGATCTCGTTTTTAGTCAATCGTGAGCAATCGCGGCACCCATCTAGCGGATAGCTTTTTCATGTCCAAATGTTGGTGCAAAATATTATGTACCCGTTCGCTCGAGATGTCTACAGTACTAGCAATCTCACGCACCTTCACTCTTCTGTCAGCCATCACCATATCATGGATTTTATCAATGATTTCTGAAGTGGTAACCTCAATAGGGCGTCCAGAACGTTCAGCGTCTTTTGTGCTCATATGGCCACTCCGAAAATTTTGAAACCACTTATAAACCATTCTAATCGAAGGTGCACAATCACCATAATGTTTATCAAGCTTCTGTTTAATCTCCTGAGGCGTTTTGCCTTTGAAAAAGTAATGTTTAATCAATACACGAAATTCTTTTTCGTCCATTTTTTTACAACCACTCGATTTCTTTGATTGAAACGAATGTAAAACGCAAAGTAATTGGCCGATCTGGCTGAAACTTAGTGTGTGCTCTTCCAAGATATGCCACTAACTGAAAATAACCTTGATACGCACTAGTAGCGCCATCTCTCTGACTTTGCATGGATTTTTCAAACGACCCTCGTATATCAGGCCAAAAAGAATATGAGATAAACAACATAGGACATAATCCACACACGAATAATAACAAAATTTAGTTTAGCTTAAAATATTTAAAAATGTGTAACGCGGTGAATACATACTATATAGATATATATGTCCCCATTGGAATGAAGATAAATTATTGTGATCAATAATCTGATAACATTTAAAAATTTTCAAATCACACTCTTTCACAGCTCTCGATGATACTTATCAAAGTGGCGGATATTAGCAATGAAGCGCGTCCGATGGATGTGGCAGAGCCTTGGTTGGATAGTTTACTACAAGAATTTTTCAAACAGAGTGATGCCGAAAAACTCGAAGGCCTTCCTGTGACGCCATTTATGGATCGAGACAAAGTTACCAAACCCTCATCACAATGTAGCTTTATCGGTTTGGTATTATTACCGCTTTTTGAAGCTCTTGGAAAACTTTTTCCTGTGCTTCAGGTATGTATATAAGTTTATCTAAATTTAATGGACTATTTTCTTTATAAGTTTCCATTTTACTTTCCTCGTGACTAAAAAATTATCAGTATCGGCAAATGCTGTTGTAATATTATTCAAATAGTAAATAATTAAATATACCGTTAATTTTTATACAATAAAGTTTAGTTAAGCTATTTATCGGCTACAATATTCAAAATAAATGTCAAAATGTAATTTTCCATTGAACATATAATAATATTATTGTAACGAGGTGGTTATCCTACAAAATGAGAAATTTATTGAATCACAAACTCCCACGATGCAGAGCTAACCGCCGCTCCATTAAACACGTATGGTTATACGTGTATTCGCCTTTACGTTTGATGATTTCGTTTCAGTGTCTTCTTTCCAACCGAGTTGAACTTACCTTAGGTCACTTGACTTGTAACACTCAGTCTATCTTCAGTATGAATGACTTACTGCCTAATCCGCTTAATCCCCTAGACCAAATCGGATTAAGACTTAAGCCTTTATAGAGCTATTAAGCGAATAGGAAACGAAATGACGTAAATGGCGAATAAAATTAACAAAGTTTAATTAACAAAAACTACAGTCTTTTATGGGCCGAAAGACTAACGCACGCGAATAGGATTTACAATTATTACTAATAATTTGGTGTGAGAGAGAGAGAGAGAGAGAATTCGAAAATTGCCGCAAAATCTAACGCTCGGTGCGAATACAAAAATTACGCTCGCGGTTGACAAAATACTTCCAAAATTTTTTTTTTTGTTTTTTCATTTATTTACATTTTATTTTTTATTCTTGGTGCTGGTGGTTGCCTCCTCTTTTAGCCTCTTGATCTCCTTTTCCTTTTCAGCTATTCTTGCCCCCAGTTAGGCGATCCGCTTCCTCACTCTACGGAGCTGTTGTTTGGAGATCTCCTTATCCTCCGCAACAGGCTCAGGGTTGGCAGGTCGAGGAACGCTGGAGGATAGAAAGGGAATGGGAGCTTCCCTCACCATCGGTTTGGGAGGTTTGGCCAGTGAGGAATCCACCTAGGGAAACCTGGCTGGGGTCTGAGTTCTTTTGCACTCCAGCCAAGGTACCAGGTTGTAAGATGGCACGAAAGGCCGACCCTGCGGGTGAGGGATAACAGCCCTCAAATCCGAGAGATCGGTCTGGGTACTGTTATTTTTCATTGAAAAGGCCATAGCCAAAAATTGTCTAGATTTATTTTCAGAGAAGACCAGTGCACGAGTTCTGAGAATTCAATTATATATAATAAAACGACCTCTAGCGACTAACAGTGATAAGGCTTTAATAATGAGGTGTGAAATTTTCCTCAAATTTTTCCATTCTTGTAACGGAGCAAATATGTATCCATACCTATAATTGATTGTACTATGTATGATCCTTCGTACAGATTCATAAATTTTTTAAATCGTTCTTCCGATTTATCTGTTGATTGTGGCTTTTTAGTAATATAATGTCGTTTATTTTGTATGGCTTATGCTTTGAATTAATGTTATGCGCTAGAGCTCTCTTGTTCAGTTTTTCGTAGACCTTTTTACAAAGATCCTTGATTTTGTTAGATATAATCGAATCATTTGGGGAAAACCAGCGATGCCAAAAGCGATCTGGCTTCCGTCCTAGGTGGATTTCCATAGGAGTATATTCGGTTGTATCGTGATAAATGGAATTCGTTATATTTTGTATCTTTGGTATTAGCGGGGCCCAACTTTTTTGACTTACATGGGCATACGCTCTTAAAAAACGTCCCAACTCCCTATGTATACGCTCTACTGAGTTACTTTGCGGATGGCGTATGCTAGAGAATATCAAATTGATGTTCATAGATGGCAGCTTTTCTTTCCAACGCTTCGATGTGAATTGAGTACCATGGTCTCTAATGATTGAGTTTGGTTTTCCATATATGAGCACATAGTCTTCAAAAATATTTTTAATGGTTGTGTGGGTAGTAGCACGTCTCATTGGATATATTACGACGTATTTACTAAAAACATCAATGGTAGTCAAAATGTACTTGACTCCTCCAGTTGAAGTTGGCAGAGGACCATAAAAATCAATCTCTAGGTTGATTCACTAACATTGGTTGCATCACTGTATCAATTTTCTGATTGAAGTACTTGGTACGTTGGCACAAGTCACAGCATCGAATTATGTTGCTAACTTTTTTCCGTACTTTCGGGATATAGAAGTCTTCTTGTATCATTTTGAAGATTTTGCGACATCCTATATGCCCGTACATTACATGAAGTTCAGTTATCAAATCATTAATCACATGTTCTGGGAGCACAAGTTTGGTTTTACTTTTTTCCTTTTTGAGCACCAATTTTTTTCGGACTATAAATCGGTTGTTAAAACTCTCTTGTTTTTTAATCTTATCAATAAAAGCGTCCTGTTCTTGGGGATGTGGCAGGTTAATAAAATTTTTTTATTAGAGTTGGTGATGGTTTTTTCATCAAACTTGCGATGCTAATTACGCCCTCTTCATCGTTACGATCGTCTAATAAATATCTGGATAAGAAGTCTGCTGCTTTATTCTTGCTTCCTTGCAAATATTCGCATGTCAAGTTGTAATATTGTAGGAATAGACACCAACGCATCAATCGCGAGTTAGTAAATTTACAAGTCGACAAAAATTTAATCGCTTCGTGATCAGTACGGACGACAATTTTCTTCGCGCCTCTTAAATATGTATCTAATTTCGAATAAGACCATGCGATAGCTAAAAGCTCCTTCTCGGTTGTAAAATAATTTAGCTCAGCATCTTTTAATGTTCGCGAAATGAAGGTTATGACTTCTTCTTCACCTTCCTGATTTAGTTGCGAGAGAGCTGCAGCCACCGTATGGTAACTGGCATCAGTGGTTAGGATATATGATTTTTCAGGATCTGGGTATATCAGAGTGATATTTTCAAAAAATAATTTTTTCATTTCCTCAAAAGCCACTTGGTGCTCAGGTAACCATTGGTAGTCACTACTTTTCCGCAACAAATCCATTAGAGGTCGACAGACGGCAGCATAATTCTTAGCGGATTTTGTATAAAAGTTGACGAAACCGAGAAAGCTCTGCAAGCTTTTAAGATTTTTAGGAGCTTTAAAGTCCCTTAGAAGCTTTAATTTTTCCCTTTGGGGCTTGATACCCGAGGGTGTAATAACATGACCTAAAAATTCCATCTCGTTTTGAACTAGCTATGATTTTGAAAATTTTAAAGTATAATTATCTCTACGGCAACAAGTGAATAACGCTCGAAGATGATAGATATGTTCATCGAATGTTTTTGAGATACAGAGAATATTATCTACAAACGGGATTATAAATTGTTTTAAATCGCCAATGAATAGATTCAAAGCCCTTACTAAGGCAGCTGTACTGGTACAAGTTCCAAAGGGTACGACGTTAAATTCATATGTATTTCCTTCAATTATAAAGGCAGTATACTTCTTACTCTTTTCGTCTAGTCGGACTTGCCAGAAACTACTCGTTAAATCAAAATTTGACATATAGTTAATTCCAAAACATTGCTGAAAAATGTCTTCCATACGTAATGGAGTTTCATAATCTTTCACCAGTTTCTTGTTCAGTTATCTAGCGTCTAGACAGAACCGACAGATCCATCTTTCTTTACGCTGCTGACAACTGGATTTATAAAATTGCTTTTTGACCTACGTATGATACCATCTCTCAACATTTCTTTGATTGCAGTTCGTACGTCTTCGCGATGTTTCAAAGGCACCGAATACTGTTTCGAAAAGTGAAGTTTTTCATCCTGGAGTACTAACTTATGAGTGTAAATTTTCAATAATCCGGGCTTTTTGCGGAACACATCTTTGAATTCGTATACCAATACTGCCAATTCGTTTTTCTGACTTTCAGTTAAGCTTGAGCATACGCTAATTTTTTCGTTAATCTCCGTCCACGTTAGATTCGTATCGTCGTCTTTTGCGGCGCCTACGTCTAGGTGGTTTTGGGTTAGATTTCCGAACAAGGATGCTTCTTCGCCAAAATTCTGGTCATACTCATGCCAAATCGACAAGCTCCGATACGTTTTCTCATCCAAAGAAGTTTCATTATATTTCAAATAGCCCACTATATTGTTTATTTGAAAAGTTACACTCTCCTGCTCAGTATCAAGTTTCATCCTTATACTTTTCATAGTATCATAACCAATGATGCAATCTTTTACCAACTGGGGAATAACGAGAAAGGTTAGGTATACGTAAAGGTCACCCAATCTTACGTTTAAATAACTTTGTTTTTTCAACTTTACCGTTTTTTGTCCAGTAGCCACTTTAATTACATGTTCACTAATAGGCAAGGTTGGTTTTTGCTTAAACATTGATGCATTTTGATTGTAAAATTCGTCGGAAATTGCTGAAATCTCGCTACCCGAATCAAGCAAGGCGACAACCGAAATACCCTCTACAATTGTATTAATTTCTGGACATTTCCTGATATACGAGTATGTGTTGTCTTCGTTACTTTCGAGTTCAGTCTTAATCTCATCCCGAGGATTATCAAATATAGTACATAGTAATCCTTCCGTCGAATCTTTACTCAAATTGTAATTTTTTACCGTTGCTACTCGCTGAAATTTTTTCTTTTTATCCGAGTTACGAGAAGCAACGCTTACTCGTTTCCCGAGGATGCAGTGTTTTCAAGTTGTTTCACTGTGTCTTCACTGATTTCCTCAAGGGAAGCTTTGGGCTTGCATTCCCGCCGTTTATCTTGCGGTTTTTGAGTCGAGGGATTGATCGAGATACTATTGACTTGGTGTTCATTCGTATGTTCCTTAGATGAGTTACGATTACTCACATAATCATCATTATCGAATGAGGAAAGTACTCTAATAAATTCCGATATTTTAGCTTGCACTAGTAAGCGTACATCCTTATCGAAATGGCGAGATAGCTTATCGATGAGTTCTTCTTCATCTAAGCTCTCGTTAATATCATAAGCTAAATTTATTTTGCGGATTGCATAATTATATCTCGAAA